TTTGCAACATAATGGTCATAAACGCATATGGAAATGTGCATTATGCCCAGCATATAAAAACGAGACCATTTTATAATCTTTATTTTTCATAAAGTGCGAAACCATTTTATGGTCATAGGCGTACTAGTAGATAAGTACCCCTTAAGATGGTACCGTAGGCGTAACCTGGCTGTATCTTGAGTGAGCAATCAAGAACATGCCTCAGATAACCCAGTTGGCACGGTATGCTCTTTCACACCTTTTAAGTACCGTGTAGTAGCTGAGTACCGCCTACATTCGCCTGTATGTTTATTGTGTTTCGGTCGGCTACTCGGTTCCAGTGCGAAAACGCCGTAATAAATAGTTACACGTGCTAGTACTTCATTAGTTAAATACCAAACTGGGACATCGACCGAGAATCGAACCCGGCCCCCGCGTTTCAGGCGAGCGTTCTCCCACTTATCCACCCACCAAGTATTGTGAGGTCTGTCATGCAGGTCAAGCCGCTAGGTGCCGCAGTAGGATCCCACACAAAATTGTATAATGATAAAGGTGTATGTGAGAAATGTCACTGTATACATTCACTTCAGTTGACGGTTATGTAGATTTTCCCACTGATGCTTCAATCATTCATGTCACCACCTCTACTGATTGTTTGTTTTTGTGGTAATGATTCCTTATTCATTCATTCAATTTTGCACTAATATTTGTGCTCAGCCTGCTCCCTTTTCGCCCCCTCCCAGTATTGTGAACTCATGGCCATAATTGTCATATAAACATATGTATAGGATGGATAAAAATGTATATGTTTAGCATGTAGAGACAATAGAAAACGTGCGAGCCATTTTATGGCCATAGGCGTACGAGAAGATAAGCACCCCTGAGAAGGTTTCGCAGGCGTAACCTCGCGGTACTTGACTGATCAATCAGGTACGTGCCTCAGATAACCCCGTTGGTACGGTGTGCTCTTTCATACCTTGTTTTAAGTACCGCCACTCGTATAGTAGCTGAGCACCGCCTACATTCGTCTGTATATGAACCCTCATTTTATTGTGTTTCGGTCGGTTACTCGGTTCTAGTACGAATAATAATTAGTTACACGTGCTAGTACTTCACTTAGTTGAACACCAAATCGCGGCATCGAACCCAGGCCGCCAGCTTGGCACGCGAGCATTCTTCCACTGAACCACCGATGAAATTTTGTGAAGTCTGCTATATTGCAAGCTTCGAGCGGCTCAGTGCCGCAGTAGGGAGAAGATCGATCACACATA